TTATAATATATAATATAAATATTAAATAAACTTTTGACTTTTGCTTATATCATTGTTTTAATTTATAATTAGATTTCATTGAATCATTGTGGCACGAGTTTTCGTGACAGTCATAAAGTCGTTATGATAGTAATAGTGAGTTAGAAATATTGATAGTTTTTTCCTGAATACGAGATTTGATCTTATATACTTGCAGCTAAACGAGGATGTTCGCCTCCTCATTTCCGTCTTTGCCACTAGTAAGATGTATCTACAATCTGCGTCAATCGATTATTCAGTCAAGTGAGCGAAGGCTACCGTGAATAAATCGCGCAAAGAGAATTTCCATCTTATAAACGGGGATTGTCGAGTAACGTGAATAGCGTGCAACGGATGCAGTAGCAATGGATTTATATAATATATTAGTAGTTATAATGTGAAACTTAAGCTTCAGCTTTATTAATTTACTTATATGTCACAAGAAAATAGTCGCCTTTATAACATGTTGCTTAGGTATGTTCTTGCCGAGTGTTTTCAAATATTATACTATTTCGATAAGCTATTGTTTTATTTGTATCGACTTTAACAGATACGAAAAATGCGAAAGATTAAATGCGCGTGGAGATTTATTTTTTCTCTCTTTCTTTAAAATGAAAAAACTATTTCTTTTTGCTTCGAAACTTCAAAGATCTCTATTAAAAAAATAAATTATATACATAACGTAGCTAAGTTATGAAACAGTATTTTCTCTGTTGAAAGCATCTTGCAAGTAATAAGCTCTTTAAATTTGTTCTTTTTGCATTTTATGTTATTCAATTGCGTGAAATATAAGACAAAAACAAAGCAAAGAGAAGATATAATATATTGTTTTTCTATCCTGTCATTTATTATTCTGTATTGTTTCCAAATTATTAAATTACTTATTGTATACGCCATTGTGTACTACAATTTCTATGATAATTTATTAAAATTTTAAAAAATCTAGTATTTTTTGTTTTAGACTTTTTCTTCGAATATGTACTTGTATTAAATGATGTCCTATAATAGAAAATTACAAAGAAATTTCATTTTTTATTTTTTAATGTAAAAAAAATGGGAAAAGTTATTTTTTAATGTAAAAGAACAAAATGTGTCGACAGAAGAGAGAATTTAAGTAATGTGCGCACTTCTTTTTCTACCAAAAATTAATTGGAAACTCATAGAAACAATGCTTTTCAGAATGTTTTTCGATTGACGTTTTGTATATGTAGAAGCTAAAGTTAGTCATCAAAATGGAAAATAAGTTGCACGAAGCTAGAAACACAATAGGCACAGGCAATAGAAACGCTGAACAGGGAATAACGAGACAAGAATATAAGGTTTATTCACATCACATGCTGCAACATGTTCCATGTACTCTTATCATAATATATCCTACTCACTCCAATGGGCTCATTATAATGAGTAGGAATTATGACAGGAGCATGTTGGAGCATGTTGGAGCATGCGGCGCGAACAAACCTATATCGAATTTATATCTCAAAGCTCTGATTGGACGATTCGTTATTCCCTGTTCTCTGTTTCTGTTGCCTGTGCTTACTGTGTTTCTAGCTTTAGAGCGAAAAGTAACGCGAGAAAAATTTCAGATTTCGAGAATGTGAGGCTCGTCACACAATCCATTATAGTGGTATGCATTGCTGCATATATGCTGGATAGATAATCATTTTGATCTTCGATAAAAGCAAATTGTCGGAAACCAGTTGTTTGTATGTACAATCAATCCGCAAAGAAATTGCACTCCTTGTCGTTTCTTTCAATTGCACTTCATGATTTAATCGTGGCGTGATGAAACGTTTGAATTAAGAGGGGAAATATCATAACTATAAATATTACTTTGAATTTTGAGATATACAACTGTATACAATGTATCCAGTAATCTTAAAAGAATATAAAAATAATTATCATTTAATGATAATATTATGGTTAATAAAACAATGTAATAATAAAATTTAATTTTTAGTTTTAATTTTTTAATATATATGATATATTTTAATCAAATTTTAAAAATATTGCATTTTTATATCTAATATACAATATTTCCAGAAAACAATATGTCTAAAACATATACATACATATAAGATGTTCTGATCATCTGCTGCAGTATGTCATAGTCTCTCAAATATCCTGTCACAAAAAGTCCTCAAGATGTCTGTAAGACATTTTATGTCCTCTTTTTGGACATATATTGTCTGAGTTTTTTATAAAATTCTCATAAGAAGATAGTTGAAGGGGATGTGGATATTCGCGTATTAAAATTATTATAAGTTTCACAATACACAAATCACATATACATCCTACAGTTGAAAATGCGTTCAAAAAATTACTCGAAATCTTTTATTAATTATTAAAGTAATTATAAAGCGAAATATATAGGTTGATCTGTTTAACATATGATATATGAGATATAATATATGAGTTTTTGTAATAATAAATATAACGGTGGTTTTAATAGAATATTTATACCGCCGCGCGTAGGTTGCCATCATTCACTACACTCATTTACGGTATGAATATTCAGATTTAGATCCCATCGAATCATGCATTGCTAATCG